ACATAACCACAGACTATTTTAAGAAGCATTTTAGTATTCAAATACTGACTGACTATTCTTCTTTTAAAACAGGAATCTTTGAAAGAAGATGATGAATCAGATGATGATAATATGTAACATGAATGCTACAATACTTTTTTTAAAGAATTGTTTTACATGTAAACTATGTACAAGTGGTGTCCTGTGGATTATTAGCCCAGTGACAGATTACCAATTTATTAAAAATTTATCTTGTATCCACAAGTTCATTTGTTTTCTATGACAAAATCTCTACTTTGGAGGGGTTTTAAGGACTTTGCCCATTTTGGCTCACATTATTACTATTAGGCAGTCTACTTGAATCTCTGGCAGATTGACTTAAAAGGTTCCAATTAAAGATGAAATCTATTTCTTTAGCAGCTTATTCTTTACTGTAACTAAAACAACTTTAAATAAGAGATTACTATGGCATAATATATTGTCTAAAATCCCTATCATACTTATTAATCCTTTTCTGCCTCTCTCATGTCAAAGGAGTGAAGATAGAGTTAAGTCTAGTAGAAGTTTTTCCTCAGCTACCCTGCCTTTTTCGTGGTTCTAAGAATAGTTACTAGATACAGTAGGAAATAATACTAAACTACTGGTTTTATAGTAGCTAGCGAAACTCTAAACTTGTGAAATTGACACATGCCAATTTTGGAAACTTCAACTTAGTGCAAGGCAACTACTATTTTTTAGTTAAGAGTGGACTTTGCCATTGCTGGACTTTGAATATTTATGTAGTTTACAGCAAACTTCATAAATACTTAACTAAATTCGAGTAACCTGGTAGTTTAGCTTCTCTCAAATAAAGTATTAAGACTTGGCCCCTCGAATTGGCCTTATTTGCACAAAAGCAGAAGTTTAGAATATGCTTGAGAATATCTAGGGCCATTTTTAAGACTGACTTAAAGTAGAATCGTTTCTCCACCTTCTAATAAAGCATGAATATAAAAAAAATCCTCTGCTATTGTTTATTTACACTTATCTCATGCACAGGGTATTCCCGTTTGTGATATAATTTTAAAACATGTATTTCCTCAGTGACCCCTTACATTTTCTGAATTTAGGTTGGATAACAAGACTATTTGAAGGAAGTGGCATGAGAAAGATTAAAAGCTTCATTTCTCAGATACTTTTAATATGAAAAGTTTAAAAAAACAAGCTTTTGTCCATTGGTCAACCTTCTTGGAAGGAAATTTTTAAAAGATATTTACTGCTGCATAATATTCATGGACAACATTTTGTTATCTCAGAAATATACCTGTTATAGGAATGTTTGAAGTAAATAAGTTTAAACTCTTTCTATAACATAGGACAGTTATAATTTATCTTAAATGCCCACCATGTCATTTATAACAATATATTAAGTACCTAAACCTTAAAAAAAAAAGTCTTGCTATCTCAAAAAAAAAAAAAACCACCTTAAGAAATTTTTAAAGAATTGGGTTTTAGTTTAGAGGTTTGAAAATGGAAGTATCAGAATTAGAAAACTTTTAACAACTAACCTTTATATTAGCACTTTAATAAGGTTTGTGAAGCACTACATACAGACACACTTTATATGTTATATGTTATAGCTGTCCACTCCTAAAATTTTACTCCACTTCTAAAGAGATCTAAACATTTGGCAAATCACTTTCTGACACTTTTTAATGCTAATGCCATAAAAGTGAAGCATGGCTTTAGTTATTAGAACAAGGAGGGGACCTTTGACGTCATCTGATGCCTCCTGATTTTATGAGGAAACTGAGACCCAGAGGTGTTAATGATTTTGTAGTTGTGAAATAACAGAGATTGTGATTCCAAAAACAGCCTTCTCAGCAAAACTGCTCTAACTTAATGGAATCTATAAATAACTGGCATTCATCAGGCAACTTTAATCAATCCTAAGAAAGAGAGAAAATACTAATTTTATGGAGTACTGACTTAAGAATTAGGTAATAAGAGCCCAGTGGTTTTTGCCTTGGCTCCCTGAAAAATGCAGAACCCTCCATTGAGGCCCTTTGAGCTCTTCTTAGCCTATCCTTGGAGGAAAGCATCAGAAGTCAAGGAGGTCTTTTGCTTCCATCCCCTTTCTTGGCTCTGAAAGGACTTGGAGGCACATGGTTTGGGCCTTACTCTTTTCTTCCAGAGAGGGAGGCATGGAGGAAAGACAGTATTTCTTTCTCTAGTCTGAGACTTCAGAATAGTTGTGCCTGACCTATGATTTTATCTAGTCTTAACAAAAAATATGAAAGTAATGAATTTCCCTAGGTATTTCCTTTGAAACAAAGGGATAAAAAAGATAAATTAAGCAATTAAATACTTAACGGAATTAAATCACATTCTTCCTTGAGAAATTTCAGTCAGGCTTCCTATTTTGAAGAAGAGAGGTCTATACCTGTTAAATAACTAGGCCCCATACTGGTAGGGTATGATACAAAAAAAAAAAATCAGGAAATTCAAACAGGTGGGTTCCAATCATCACATTTTAATGCCAGTGGAAAACTACAATAAAGCTCTAACACAATATTAAAACAGAAAACCCAAATTCTGATTTAATGTAGGTGTAATAGCAAAGTCTAAAGATAGATTTTTACATAGATAAAAAACTGCTTTATTTCTGATGACAAATCATCCAAGTTTCCACCTAATATTAAGGAAATTGAACTAATAAATGAATTTATCCCCTTTGAAAGAAAAAATATAACATACTAGAAAATATACTGAAATACTGAAAGCTGGGTAATTTAGTAGGCGGTACCCAGGCAACTGGAGGCTATGAATTTGGGTGAGTGGTGGAGTACATAGAAGACCTCTGGGGACCAACTAGTTAGCTGCCATACAATATGAAGTCTTTTTTACAAGCTTTTTAAAGTTTTTTTACAAGCTAAATTAGGGGGTGGTTAGATGTATTAAATGCTACACACTGATACGGCAGATCTTTTTGAGCCTTTTGTGTTGGTGTTTCTCGAGGTTCTGTCCCTGGACTGTTAATTTTCCCTTTCTAAATTCTTTCCCTTGGCAGTCTTTTATGCCTCTAATTTCAGTTACCACCTCTACCCAGACAACTGCCGTAGTTCCAACTAATGCAATTGTGTGCCCTAGGCAAGAAGGGTCACATAGGATAGAACTTAGGATCCAAAGGATGTCCAACACTTACTCCAAATAGAAGAGAGACTCCCTATATAGATGGTGAGTTCTAGATGCTCCTGTCTGAAAGTCATCGGATGAGTTTGGCCTAAAATATATAGTCAAGAAAATCCAAGTAAATGAATATTTGCTGACCCAGCTATGTGGCTGGGTCAGTGATTCCTAACTTGGTGTCCACGGACCTACCAAAGTGTGTTAATTTGGATTGAAAAAAAATACATAAATATATGCACTTCCATAAAAATTTATTTCAATATAATTGGTTTTTTTGGTAATCTTACTATTTCTGCATTTAAAACCATTATTCTGAGAAGGGATCTACAGCTTTCACTGGATTGCCAAAGGATGCATAACAGTTTTAAAAAAGGTGAGGGCTAGATGACCTCTCCCCTACCCCCCAAATAATTCCAACAAGAATGCATACATATAGAGATTGGTAATTTTATTATGAATCAAACTAGTATAAAAGATGTGTAACACAAAATTTACAAATCATTATATTCTTTATTGTAAATTTCATGAAGCCAACTGATTTTCACAGAATACTTTTTTTTACCCAACTCATATGTCAACCTGTAGCTGTACCAGGATTTGAAATGAATTTTCATCCAAATCCATTAATCTTTCCCCCGTCATTATCTGTCAATAAATCTTATGTGATTTACCATTAAATTATTTATCACCCTTGTACAAATTATATTCACAAAACTGAAACATTTCAACTTCAATACTGACAGCAACAGAACTCTTTTTTGAGCTTTCTGTACAGTTAGTTGCAGGTATTGGAGCGCTAATTCTTTATCTACACAATTCCAAAAGCTGTTATTTCCTATTTTCAAATTTCACCTTTTTTTCCACCAGCTATTCATGTTGAAGTTTTTCTAATGGTTCTAATAAATAAAAAATTTAAAATGCTTTCATTTCTGTTCAGTAAAAGATTTAAGCTCATCTCTTGAATTATTTTCAAATATTCCTGGAGCATTAAATTTATTATGTTTATGAAATTAAAATGTTGTTTTTATGAAAATGTCTTTAAAACTTATCTGGCCTAAGCCTTCAACTTGGGATTCATGCTTTCCAGGACCAATTTTTAGATTTTCCAGAGTTCTTATGGTATATACTAATTTTGCACTGAATGTGATTACAATGTAGTTGAAAGTAGTAACAATTGCTCAAAAATGTCAATTATTAAAGCAAGATATTGCAAGAAATAAATGTTAGGTAACTGATATGCCAAACCAGAAGAGAAAAATGCAAGTAAAACGTAGTATGTATTCACCATGTAGCAATAGCTAGTAAACTACAGGCTGTCCATCTCAGTCCCACAATTACCCCAATCTTAATAATTTCAATTTTTTTCAAACTATAAATTTGATTTTTATTAAATCAGTAACAAATGGAATGAATTTTATCCAGAAATAATTTATAAACCATCAACTTGTTTTAGAAATTTTCTAACAACTTTATTTCCCAGCATTGTATTAGCACCATCAGAACAAAATGCAATTAAGTTTACTTTCAAGTATGTATCGTGTGGCTTTAATAATACTGTATTTGAAAATAGAAATTCTTTGAAAGCAATAAATAACATCTGTGCAGTTGCTGACTGAATTGAACACTGGAGATAAAATCCCTTCAGTGTTCTTCTTTGAAATTTTATTTGTCTCATCAATTATGATCAGTTTTTTTTCCCATAATATTCTTAACCCTATCTTAATTTTTTTTATTTGATCTTCACAACAACCCTTGGAAATGGATGTTAGAGATAACTTCATTTTGCAAATGTAAGGAGACAGATTTGCCTATGGGTCACACAGCTAGTTAAATGTGGGAGTTGAATTCAGGTTTTCCTAACTCCAGATCCAGTGCTCTATCCACTGTGGCACCTGTCTATTCTTGTTGTATTATATTTATTTTTTCTTGCAATTCCATTGCTCCCTCAATATTAAAGATCTATTACGTTTTAGTACATTGTAAATAGTACTAAAAAACTTGAATCTTTTCATTAATCTTTTAGTAGGGGCTTTAGAAATAGTGTGCTCCCCAATTTTTCCCCCCCACAGAGAAGCTTGCCTAAGTTAATTGTGCCTTGTGGAATTGCTAAATATACACTCCATTCCTAGGATACCCATGCTTTCCTGCTGTCACTCCTAAATGCTGAACTGTTGAACAAGGCTTACATCTTAAATTTATTTTCTTTCATTTCAAGCCTTCATACTTTTCTGAAAACATCTCAAAAGTACAAAATTATCTATTTCTTTAAACATTTGTACAAGATTATCTATTTCTTCCTTTAAAAAACATGATGGTTTTCTTCAATGACTGGTCATTCAACAGATTCAAAATCTGGTTCTGTTGGCTTTGCTGCTCCACTATAATTTCTGTTTTCATGTTCTTCACATTAAAAAAAGCTCACAGTTGTTCTGGCATTTTAGGAAACAAAATCTGAAAAATAATTTTGTTATGTTAGTAACATAAGCAATTTAACATAAAATCTGTTAACAAGATCTTCATATAATTGTAGAAATTACAAATTTTAAGATAAAATACTTACCTTGTTTGTCAATTTATACCTTTAACACTAAAGTGTGATTTGCTATTTCTTGTAACATTTTTATAATTCCATTGCCAACAACAGTATCACAAAATCAGAACATAAATACTTGATTACTACCTAATTCAGCAAAGAAGTGCCTCCCACCATTGAAAAACAAAGTGTGATTCCAAAGGAGAGGCTTATTTATTGAATAGTATGTGTCACTAAATAGTCGGGAAAAGATGCACAGTTGTACACCATTAAACTGTTATAAACGAACCCACCAAGCCCATTCCCTAACTAGAGCAAAGCTCAGTTCCAGGCCCACAGTCCTGAGTGAAAGAAGAATCTTTAGTATGTCTCTTGCAAGAAGCAGGCAAGTGTTCCCTTAACAAGAGAAGGGACCTGACACAGAAGTGAGAGCAAGCTTTATACTGTGAGTCCAGCGCCTTCCTTCAGAGCTTGGATCGGTCTGGAACTCTTCTGGGTTAGAATCTTCCTGAACCACCTATCCCATGTTGCCCCTTAACATGTTCTCCCTCCTTGTAATATATCCCATGTTATTTAAATGAGCAAAAAATCCCTCCCTGGGTGTGTCAGATAATATGCATGAGGCTAATTAAGCATACCTGTTAGTAAAAAAGTCCCTTGACCCTGATCAGTTTGAGCTGGTTTCAACCTGGGCTCCATTTATCAGGAGCTTTGGGGTTAGGCCTGTTTCTTTTTCTAAAAGCTGATTGGTCAGTGGTGCTTGTTATCTTACACCACCTTAAAACTGCAATATCCTATGGAAACCTAACTTTTTAGTATTAGTATTTCCACTATTATTATATACAGATATGAGACAACAAATCTCTCAAGTTTATAAAAATAGCAAAATGTAGTAAAATAATAAGAAGTATTGAGTTTTGATTATTTTTTAATTCTAAGTTTATAATAACATTTAACAATGTGTTTAACAGCTGACTTGCAAAATTCCTGAAAATTTAACACTTGGCTTTGGAGAGCTGCTGTGAGCCAGCTCCATGATATAGGAGGTAAAAGTCAGGAAAAGAGCAGACTATGACGCTCAGTGATCCAAAATACCTTCTAATCTATAGCCGACAGAGTAAGACCAGGGAGGGCGTAAGAATAGGTTGAGGGAAATCTTTTCCAACAGCAAGTGTGTAAATTGCAAAATAAATTAATAGCACCTTAAGAATTAACCCTTTCCCTCTTTCTTTTTACCTTCTCTCTCCCCACACTCCTTGTTCTAGGCTAGACCTGAATCAGGACAAACTAGTCTTTCAGGCTTGGAATAAAATGAGATGCTCATAAAACCATCCAATATTTAACAATAGCAATGGAGAATTTATTCAGTAAAGATATAGCTTTTGTTCAATTAGGAACCCTCTCTTAACAAATGACCTGCGTTATCATGACCTGCATGTGCAGGCCACACCTGAGTTTTCAAATATAGGTAAGCAGGAAGGAAACTATATCAGTGGTGACTTATTTTTCTGGACCAACTGATTCTCTCTCTCTCTCTCTTTTTTCCAAGGCAACTGGGGTTAAGTGACTTGCCCAGGGTCACACAGCTAGTACGTGTCAAATGTTTGGTCTGAGGCGGAATTTGAACTCAGGTCCTCCTGACTTCAGGGCCGGTGCTCTATGGACCAATTAATTCTCAAAGATGATTCCACTGCCTTTTAAGGAAAACATGGCCTATGTAGCAAGGAGGTGTTGCTCCTATCATACTGGCCTCCTGAATGACAAGGTCCTAAAGCATTCTTACATGTTGTTCCTACCACATTCTCATTCCTACTCTACCTGCTCACAGAATCCTAGAGCTTATGTTTCCAGAACATTCTGTTTATACTGATGACCAGTCTAGTCAATGCTCCTTCCACTATACAACACTGCTAATACTGTGGAAATCACCTAGTTTCATACTCTCCACTATCCACTCTCACTTTCCCACTTTAACAGATAAAGAAACAGAAATCTAAAGAAAGGGGCTTACTCAATGTCACAGAACTAACTGGGCAAAGCTGGGACTAGAACCCAGGATTACTATATCTGCATTAAAGGAATGGGGGGAAATAAGAATTAATTAAACACTTTACCTATGTGCCAAGCACTGTACTAACAATACTGTACAAATATCTCATTTGATCCTCACAACTACTCTGTGTGGTAGGTTTTATTATCTCCATTTGACATCTGAGGAAACAGGTTAAGTGACCCACTCAAGATCATAGTTATTAAGAGTCTGAGGCTGAATTTGAACTCAGATCTTCCTGACTCCAGGCCCAGGGCCCTATCTTCTCTGCTACCCAGTTGTCTGCACAATCTTTGGCAATATTTAGCACAGGCTTGAATATAAATATTTTGGTGTATGCTGAACCTTTTTTCTCTGACTTCCTTGGGGCATATACAAGAAGTGAGATCTCTAGATCAAAGGTTATGGACATCTTGGTCACCATCTCTGCATAATTCTATACTCCTTTCCAGAATGACTGGACAAATTCACAGCTTTGCTAACAGTGTATAGTGTACTCATCTTTCCATAACCCCACCAAGAGTGACTATGCCCATCTTTTGTGATCACCGAGTGAGGTAAAAACCTCATCTCAGAGTTGTTCTGCTTTACATTTTCTTGTGTAATTCACATGATTAGTGCTAGTAGTTACAATTCTTGAGAATCCTTTGACTGTATAACCACCAGGCAATAGCTTCTGATGTTATATATTTGTGTTGGTATTAGTTCCCTAACTGTCTTGAATTTCAGACAAAAGTGGTATGTATGTCTGAAAACTTTTGCATCATTAAGTGATTCTGTTGCTTAAAACAGAAGTGTATATAATCTTTAAGAATTCTCATATCTACATACTTTTAAAACTTGGAAATACAATTTTCCAACCTGTTTGAAAATTTTCCAAATGGAGTTTGAGTTTTGAAACCTATGTGTTAAAAGTACAAAAATGTTTCACCTTCTGATTACTTTACAAAAATAACTGGCTCACATCAAGGAATATAGAAATTTACTAGCTAAATTAAAAAAAAAACTTTTTGCATAATTGATGTGATTTAAAAAATAAAAGAGTATCATCCTCTCCAGCCAACAACATACCTCTGTTTTAAACTACAGATTTTTGTGAGAAATCCTTTCCATCTATGAATGCCATTAAAATCTATCTAAATATACTGTTAATAGGATTAATGTACACAATAGTTAGATGGCACAATGGATAGAGCATTGGTCTTGGAATCAGACAGACTTATCTTTGCGAATTCAAACCTGGCCTCAGATACTTAGGCAAGTCACTTAACCCTGTCTGCCTCAGTTCCTCATCTGTAAAATGGGACTAGAGAAGAAAATGGCAAACCACTCCAGTATCTTTGCCAAGAAAACCTTAAAACAGTTACAGAGAGTCCAGATATGACTGAACAATAGGATTAATGTATGCTACCTAATTTATAAATATACACATATTTGGGAATATGCTCAAAATTATTTATTGATTGGATGCACAATAAAAAAATGTTTGGAGAACACTGATCTAATGACTAACATCAGGGCTTTCAACCAAAAGAGCAATGGCAGAACTGGTGCCTCACACGAAGACCCTAGCTTAAACCAGAAGCTAGAAGCAGAGGAAGTTTTCTCCTGAGGGGTGCCAAACTTGGTAGATACAGTGGGAGCGGCGGATCATGGTTAAGTACTTATATAAGATCAGCTGGAAGCAATATCTGACAGACTGGCAAGGACTAGATTCCCGGCAGAAACTTCAAGACAAACGAGTAACAAAAGGGGAAGTGGAATAACGAAAAGTTATCAGTGGCCTTGGAGTATCAGAGGGGTAAGCCCTAGCTACATATGTTTCCTTCATGTGTATCCCAGTCACGTGTTTCCACTGATAATGCATATACTGGGGGTGTGTGTGTGTGTGTGTGTGTGTGTGTGTGTGTGTGAAGAAAGCTCCTGAATATAGAAGAATTGGCCTTACATTTAATATGCCCATATGTCTAAGTGAAGTACTCATATATAAAAACAGTACTGGGTTTAATAAAAACAGATATCCTCATTGGTTTCTTACTAGAAGATGATTTCTCTCTATCATGAGGATTCAGGGCCTCCTCTTTTCCAACCTCAGCTTCTAATAAATGATAAAAATGTCTCATCTTGTTAAGATAAAAAACTTCTTTCTCAATCTTTCCCTGGACAGTGTCATTAATAATGTCATTCAGTGTAGACAGTCACCATTTTTTTTTAAAGCAGGTAAGTGAAAAAGTATAATGGTAAAAAAGATAACAAGAAACAAAAACTTGTGCTCTAGTCTTTGGTAAGCTTATAAGGAAGTAAAAATTGTGTCTCTCTTTTCTGGGCAAGAGGAAAACGAAAATAAATCATTTGGTGATCAAAATGGGTATAAAGGATTATGAATTATGCTCCCTTTAATAGGCAGGAAGAAACTATTGTTGTTCAGTCTCACCCAACGTACTCCCGTAAGCTCTCGCAAGTCTCAGGCTTAGTTTTAGGTCCTAAACTCTATACCATCAGCAATAACAGCAATTTCCAGAAGTCCTGAGAAGCAGGAGCAGGAAGCATCACTCTGATCCCTCTATAATCCAACTCTTATTCATGATTGGCTAAGACAGATTCCCTGTGTCTTCCTTTTCTCAAGAATCCTCTTCCAATGCCAAGTCATACAACTCAAGTGCTGGGAACTCTGGGTAAAAGCTACTAGGTTGTCATGCTTACTTCCAGCACCTCATGTCTCCTTGATAGTACCTCCAGAAAGTTAAGGGTTACAATTAAATACCTTCATTTCTAATTGTCTTCTGCCTGCTTAGTAAAAATAATCACATAGGTGGGGGCTCTTAGCTATGGTTTTGATGAGATATAGACCCACAGAGTGCCTTGAGT